TACATTGTCTCCAACGTTTGAGCTACAGAAAAACATTATACGAGCCCAGAGCAGAGTGCGTTGCGACAATTGCAATAGGTCATTCTTAGCCACCTGAGGCCAATGGCGTATGGGTTTGGCATTTGGTAGAAGTTTCAGCTTCTTTTCTGAAAACATTCGCAACAGGTGCCCAAGCCATCACAGACGTGATTTTTCAAACAGAAGGAAGCAGCAGCTACACAACAAAGCTCTATTCTGAACCACGTCGAAACGCGTGAGCTTCCCGATTCGTAACAGGAATCCATTTCAGCAACTGGTTCCCCCAACGGAAGTTAATCAGTCATAGCCCATGACTCATGACCGCCAGTGCGCATCAGAATGAAAATCGACTAGAAAACAGAGGTTTAATATTGAAACTCAGGTCTGATTTAGTCACAGTGGTTAGGGCTAGTTCTCAGAGGACGCCGCTGGCCATAATAATTTGCCGGTCGATCGCATCATACCATTTTCCATCAGCAGTAAACACGACAAAGAGGTCCGTGAATTCTACCCCCTGTTCCACGGCTGATTCGTTCTTTTCGCAAAGCACAACGCGCTGGAAAACAAGAAGACCAGTCTCTTCGTTAAAGACTTGTTCACACGGATGTCGGCTACATCCACAGGGCTGCGAACCGTTCCAGAGGGCGCTATAGATCAGTTTCAAAAGATGCCAACAAAACAAAGTCGTCTGTAAACAGCTACCTTCTTCTTTCGACATCTCCTATGCTGATACACTCATAGCCCTGTCTGTGCTAGGCCATTCTATCCATGTACAACCCAAACAGGAGAGGAGAGAGGACGTAGCCTGGGAGGAGACCGGCGCCAACGTTGAATCTGCCATTAACTGCCATTCACTCTGACGCAGCACCTGCTAGCGATATATAGTGACTGGATAGCCGAAGCAATTTCCTTTCAATCCTATGTTTGCACGTACTTCCATATTCCGTTGCACGGAATTCGGCCACATTCTTTCTCCAGGTCAGCAAAGTGCATCTAAATCAGATGAGCGAACTCTCCCGATTTGTCACCAACCTGATGTAAGACGAAGATTTGGCAGAGGTGCTTCGGCCTGACTTGAATCCTCTTTTTCAGTTATTCCGCAGCACCTCCATTCTAATACCTGTGTAGATCTTTCACAGAAGTCCCAATAAGGTACTCCAGTTTTTGAACACTCCTTATGATCTCCATTATTTAATAAAAGTAATAAAAGTCACGTTCTCCAATCCACTGGCGTCTTTCCCTTAGCCACTGCAGTTTGACACTGGGTAAATTTAATTGACTCCAGCAGCGTTGCCACTTTTCAAGCGTTTACTTCTATAACTTCATCTATTGTAACACTAACATACGTTTTAGCTACTCTTCAGACTCACGTCATTAACTCTGACGCAGCACCTGCTGTCGGAATACAGTGATTCGATGGCCCTCAGCAACTTGCCATCAATCCCGTATGCACGAATGCATGTCCACAG